TTTTTAATCCCTTTATTAAAGCGTTGTATATTAAAGATTTTTTATTTTATTTTATTTATTTGCATTTCAGCTGACGATATGCTGGTATTTTACTTGCCGAAGGGTTATAATTTGATTAACATAACTTGCAAGTTTATGAGATAATTGTTAACAATTATTCATTTTCAGGCAAATAAACATAACTTGCAAATTTATGAGAACAGTTCTGTGTATACAACATTTATAGAAATCAGGCATCAAAGAAAAAAGTTATAGAAAGCTAGTCGAACCAGGGTGCCCAATTTTTTTTTACACTCGGGATATACATACATATGTACTCTCATGAGTGTGAGTGAGTGTTCGAAATCGCTGGGATCAAATTGAACATCGTGATACGGTCTAATGTAGGTACATGCGCTATCGTATTAACATTAATTCTCTTCTAATAAGAGTCAACTCAATTATCCCAATTCCTACCCGCCTAATTTGCCATAAAGAGATTTATTAAGCGATGGAATTTTCCATATTATGTACATATGTACTTACATATCACGATTTAATAAAGAGGCGACGAAGAAAACACGATTCTAGCTGTTTTTAGGACGTTGTTACGGCGGAAATTTTCATGATGCCAAAATCCTCTCGAGGTAGGCTTCCAAGCGTAGTGAATTAGGCGCAGTATCCTCCTCACACATAGGCCAATAATAGTAACGCTGTGATACCATATGGAATACTAATCCCTTTTGGCGTCATGAGCTTTACTGATAGTCTTATTTCCACCTGTGAGATCTCTGCCAATCATGCGTAATCTTTTTTTTTGATCTTGCAACTACAACATTGGTGCGATGCGTATGCCAACAAAAGTTCTTATAGGGAAACTCAAGAGCACAGAAGTGCGTTTTCTTTATAGGAGGGCCAAGAATCCTCGCTGTCCCACAGGATGACAAGTTTTCCGGTACATTGCTAAATGATCTCTTAAGTATCTTTCAAATGAAGCAATTGAAATACCTACGGTGATCTTTCCTTGTTAATTCACCACTTTTACAATTCGTGGTAAAATTTATGAATTGATTTCTGGGTAGATGCAAGACCGCATGACCGTGCATGAGGGCGTCTGAAAACTAAATTCGTATAACTTAAGCATAGGTCGAAAGCAGACCAACCACACGGGGTTTCTATACATTTCGGCTGCAGCGCCATCCATTGGGTTCATTTTCTGCAAAACCATTGCTTACTATAAAATGAATACGTGTTTTGAATTTCAACCCTAACTCCAGCGGTACTAATCGGGTAAATTTTTATCAAAAGAATTTTTCATCATACAGGTACATAGCTCACATTTAAAATTTGAACGAAATCGGTTAATAAATACGATTTTTATAAATAACTCTACTCCAGCACCACCTAGCGAGTTTTATAGTAGCATGTAATTGGACCATATATGTATGTAAGATAACCTCCGACAATCTGACGGAACTCTATTCAGTGTTTTTTGAGTTTATTCCGAACAACGAAAACGGCTATCATTATGAAAATAGGTATGTAGAGAGGACTGTTTATAGCGAAACTCATAAAAGCAGAGCTCCATTCTTTGTGAAAAATTAAAAAAAAATCTTCAAAATTTTCACATAAATTTTACTTTACTGAAAATTAAAGACAAAGTTACAATAGTTCAATGGGATTTAGAAATCTAGGAGAAAATGGTTCCCAATCGAATGATACTTGCGCGTTTACGTAAATGTATATCGAGCCAGCCTTTCCAATAATTACCACTTTTCGCCATAACTACGGTATTGATAACATATGTAGCTGTGTAGAATTTCAGGACGTTAGCGTAAGCAGTTCCAGAGATAAGCTATATGAGAAGTTCAGTTTGTATGGAAGGAAGGAGCCACGCCCCCTTTCCCAATGTATTTGCAATATATGCATCAGTGCTAAGTTTCAGTTCCCCAGCGTAATTGGTTTTAGAGATATATTGGTTTTTTACGTTTTAGTCTGTATAAGAATTTTAGGAATAACCCGAGCTACATACCGAGTAAATTTTTGGTCAGAATATTTATTTTCAACTTGTTGCCAAATATGAACCAAGTCGATGCAGCCGTTTAGTAGTTTAGTGAAATACATTGTAAAAAGAACTGTATGAAATTGTAAAACGTGACGTCTCAGATTTCTTTTAAATTTTTTGGCAGCAACAACGAAAAGTTTTAATTTTTTTTAGCGAAAAACCTTCCACACAGAAATAAAAAAAAAATAAGTTTGTGGTTATATCAAGGCGAAATTTTGAGAAAGGTCCGTTGCTAACTCTAAATATAAACAACGACGCACTGGAAAAAGTTAATACGTTCAAATACCTGGGAATAATGATCGACGATAAACTAAAACAAAAAAAATTTATTCTATATTTTCAATTAGAGCTCTAGCAATATGTACATCGGTGAAAACTGCATTTAATTCCATACATTAGCTTTTGCGTGATACGCTTACAAACATACAGACAAATATACCAAAATTTTATATTTGGCTTCTGTTGATCTAATAAACCCCATATTAATTTTTCTTTAACATCTATTACGTACAGATATCGGCCTGTTGCAATTTTATTATTCTCAAATACTCTCATTTGATACCCATATGGCAACACTTAGTTTATATTATAAATTTAACTGAATTAAAGTTTTCAAACCCGCTTCAAGAATATTTTCAAAAGTAAGCTTCCTAATCCTCTTTAGTTTAATATTCGTATTGCAATATTTCATTTATTTTACAAATTTTAATGAATACAATTTTTCAATCAGTTGGCAAATCCCCTAAAAATATTTTTAGCATTAAAATTTCCTGGCCTCTTTAGTTTGATGCCAATATTGCAATATTTAATTTATGCTATCAGTTAAATTAAATTAAAGTTTTCAAATAGGTGGCAACCTTCCACAAAAATATTTTCAGATGTAAGCCTTTGTAAATTTCTTTATTTTGACAGCCATATTGCAGTATTCACTTTACCGTATCAATTGACCTAAACTGAAATTTTAAACACAGGTGGCAACTCTCTAATTTTTTCTTCTATATTGGAAGCTAGATCTCTAGCGATACATCGGTGAAAACTGCATTAAATTCCATGTTTTCGACTGATGCGCGTACAAATATACAGACAGACGGAGATTCAAAAATTCTAAAAATTGTTTATTTGGCTTCTGTAGCTTTAATAAAAACCCACTATATTAATTTTTCTTTAATATCTATAAAAAACAGACATCGACCTGTTTCAATTTTATTATATGTATAGATGTAGATATAGATTTTATTTATTTAATGAATTTAATACAATAAAATTTTTCAAAAAGGTGGCAGCCCTCCCTAAAAATATTTTCGGCAATATAATATCCTAAACCCTTTCAGTTTGATACCCATATTGCAATATTAAATTTATCTTATGAAATAAATTAAATGTAAATTTTCAAACAGGTGGCAACTCTAAAAAAATATGTTTGGCTGTAAGCCTTCTTCAGCCTCTTTCTTTTGACGCCCATATTGTAATACTTATCAATTTACCTAAACTCCAATTTTCAAACAGGTTGCAACTCTCTAACTTTTTTATTCCTATATTTTAAGTTAGACCTCTAGCAATACATCGGTGAAAACTGCATTCAAATCCATGCATTCGTTTTCGAGTGATGCGCGAACAAACATACCGACAGACAGACATACAGACATAAATTCTAAAAATGGTTGATTTGGCCTCTGGTGCTCTAATAAAGACCCCCCACATAAATTTTTCTTTAATATCTATAATGTACAGACATCGACCTGTTACAATTTTATTATATGCTATCTTTTTTCCATGCAATCAACTGGTGTTTTTAACATGGGGGATGTCCTACGAGATGGCAATTGTCAGATTTTGGTCAGAAATATACCAGTCTCATACTAGGTCAAAATAGACAGAAAAATCCTAGTCCAATTATGGACCAAAACCACTACTTTGGAAGTCAAAAAATAAAATGAATTCATGAATATACAATAAAAAAACTTTTGATTAAGTACACTTTAATACATTACACATTTTTATTTAGCTTAGATTTGCCAATAATTAATGTTAAATTGTTTGAGTATTAATTAAAAGGGAAAATAAATAGATACATAAATATTTCAAACTTTCGAACCAAAATTTAAATGCATTATACATTAAACGTTATTAAGAGTAAAAGCTTTCAGGTACAATAAATACTATATTTTTATCTTTTTCAATAATAATGAATATGGAAAAGAAAACATTTTGGTTAAACATAAAACTAACATTTTAGTTAATTTTTGAGTGAACTAAAATAAAGATAAAAGTTTTCATTGAAATAAATTAAATTCATTAACTTTGCACATTTCAGTCCTTTCTTTTGAAAATTTTTAAAAAGTAATAATTAATGTTTAAAATTTGAGATTCGGATAAGAATAAAATAAATAAATAATTCAAGCAGTTATTAAATGTTCTTAATTTTTGTTGATTGATAATTGAAATTAATCAAATTATTATTTAATCGTGTAATTAAAAAAGTCAAAGATGATTGAAAATACTCGAAAATAACAAAGTAATGATGTAATTAAAAATAACGAATTAATTAAACATGTTTGTTTAAGTAATTAATTATTAATCATTAAAAAGGTGCTAATATCAGTATTTAATCATTAAGCGATTATCCAAAAACATGCTTTAATTAGTAGTCATTATGAATATTAATCATTATTTAACAGGTATGGTATAATGGCGAGTACGGACTCGCTTTAACGATTTACAATATACCCAAATAAAAGCTATAATATTTAGTGTAGCCTATTGTATTAAACTGTCGAAGTCAAATAAAACAGGGCTTGAATAAATCGTTTTTACTTCGTACAAGTCTGGTAATTTTTGAACTAGTTCAGTTTCAGTCAGGAAATTATAGTTGTAAACTAGTATTTTTCCTGACTAGTTTGGGGTTTCACTGCAGGGATGTTTTCCATTAAATATTTTCAAAATTGTTTCGTTACAGTGTATTTGGTATGAGTGATAAAAGCAGTATCACTAACAGCCTTCCCAATAGTCCTATTCATACTTCCACGTCGGCCAACAACAATAACAACAGCAGCATTAACGGAAATAATGGCTGCAATAAGAGTCCAACTCTGCTCAAGAATAGCAATAGCAACAGCAGCACAGGCCTTATCAACGGCAGCAACAACAATGGACCACCAAGTCTGTGTAATGCCAATGGCAACAATAACAACAACACATGCAGTGCCAATCGTAACGTTCTCGACAATGAATCACCATGCTTCCGCATGGATGCCGACGTGCCGTTCGGCGAGAAAGAGCCCGACCCAGACAATATCAAAATGTTTGTTGGGCAAGTGCCAAAATCCATGGATGAAGCACAATTGCGTGAAATGTTTGAGGAGTATGGTCCAGTACATTCAATAAATGTACTGCGCGATAAAGCGACTGGAATCAGTAAAGGTAAGTGAATTTAATAACTATATATGTATGTATGTACCAGGGTTGTCCGCGTTAAATTCTAACATTCGCACTCGCTTTCGAGTTCCCAATAATCAATGCGGAGCTTTTACGAGCGTGAATGTTGTGCAAGTACACCGATAAAACTTATATCTGGCAACCAAATGAAAAATTGTAGCCAATTTTTTTTTTCGTGGTCGTGGGAATATTTGTGTAACAAAACAGGGCAAATGGCATATATATCAACATTGATAAAAATGTCTTTAAACATATTATTTCGTAAGCTATGTATATAACCGAGTTATCAATGCGCAGTCATACAAGCTCCCACTTCTAGTTGACCTTTGACGTACGTCAAAGAGAACATAGTTCTTTTAATCTACACTAGTGTTCGCCCTGCGGTTGAAATTCAACCTTTTAAATTAAGGGGAGATGAGGTGGACTTAGCCGAACCGAGTTGAGTTTAGTTGAGTTGATTGACGTTAATTGAGCTGAAATATCTCGAACAACATAACAGAATATAACATAACGTAACATGACACAACATAAGATAACACAATACAAAACAACACAACATAACATAACACAACAAAACATGACATAACATAACATAACATTGCATAACATAACATGTAACGTAACATGTAACATAACACAACACAACACAACACAACACAACACAACACAACACAACACAACACAACACAACACAACACAACACAACACAACACAAAACACAACACAACACAACAAAACACAACACAACACAACACAACACAATACAATACAATACAATACAATACAATACAACACAAAACAACACAAAGCATTACAACACAACACTACACAACACAACATAACATGAATTAGCATAACATAACCTAACATAACATATGTAACATGACATAACATAACATAACATAACATAAGGTAACATCACTCAACACAGCACAACAGAACACAAAACAACACAAAACGCTATACAAAACAATACAACACAACACCACACAAGATATCACAACACAACATAACATGCCATTCGTCAATTTTATCTTTTTCCCTTTTTTGTCTCTACCTTTATCTCTATCTTTGTCTCTGCTGTTTTTTTATCTTTTTGTTTTTATATTTATCACTTCCTTGACTTTAATTCAGATCTATATATGTACTCTTTTATTTATCAAAATATTCATCCACACCTTTGCTATTATATTAAGTATTTAAATTTTCCTTTGTCTTTATGTTTACATTTCTTTACTTTTATTTTAATCTCTGCATTTACCCCTTTCTTCTCTACATACTCAACTTACCCTTTTTCCTTGTTTGAGGCTTACACCCCTATTGCGGTTGTCGACTGGCAGTAGATAAACGACTATTAAGCGATTATCGATTATCGATGCTATTGTGGGTGTCGCTTAATCGCTCAATTAGCGACTGTGAATACTTTTTAATCGCTCATCCTTCTATTGCTGTTTTTTAGTCGTTGGATTTAACGTTTATAAAATTTACATAAGAAAGTGTTAAAATAATGGATAAAATTTAAGTCAATTAAACTGGAAGTTGTAAAAAATTGTGAAATGTACTTATGTATGTATGTGTCTGAATTGCAGATCAAAAATTGTAAGCAACAAAAGGTAACTTGCGCGGTTGGTCGAGCTGATGCAAGAGAATGAGGACATAGGCAAGGAATTTTCGGAAAGAATAGGGGCCGAAGCTCCGCTTCTATTGTGAAAGATATGCAATATATCTTGTGCATATAACTCCGGCTACGTCATCCACAGTGTTTTTGCGCAGAACCAACATCAAAGTTTACAAGCAACTGCATAATTTATTAATTAACTAGTGCTCGGAAATTTTAAATCTCTATTTTAAATTAAAGTTTAATTATTTCACTACACTTGTATGTTAAAGTTTTTAATCTCGGGTCACGCGTTTGGACACAAATACCCAACATCATTGTACAAGTAGCTAAACCGTACCGTATTTCTTAAACTTCCATAAAGCTTATTAATGAGGAAAACAGCTTTTCCTGCAAATCCTGTAAAACCTACAAACCGTGAAGCATCTGGAACGCAACTTCTATTCATAAAATTCACATATATACATACACTTCATCTTCCAACTCCAAGGGATCCGACGAATCTCGCAATTCCNGCGTTAAATTTTTGATGTGTTATGACTTTCTTGTTGTTGTAATATGTGTACAAAAAAGTAGTATTGTTGTAGTATTGAAAAAAAGTGTCTACTGCGAAAAAAATTGTTAGATTACCAGTATTCGACCCAAATTTAACTGTAATATGTTTTCATGAGCTACGCTCTTTTTGGAAAAATAAAGGAGGTCATATTATTGTCCAGTGGCGCAAATTATGCAAAAAAACTCCTTTAAAAATGTAATTTTCATTTCGTAAAATTGTATTTTTATACGAGTAGTATTTAGTTCCTTCAAACGATGTATTTCAATGTAATACAACATGAAAATTTTGCACAAAATTTCTTAGGCGCCGAACGCCGCCGCTCCGATATTTTCGTAACTCGGCGGCAGCGCGTGAGTAATGACGAAAAACGGCGGCGGCGGCGGCGAGGCTCGGCGGCGTATACCTCTACAATACGGTCCTATATCTATTCATGTGCATTAGGGTGGTCCTTAAAAAATCAAATGAACGATTTTTTCCAGTCTCACCCTCTCATTCGGTAATAACATGGTCGTCACATATGAATTTTGGTCCCGATTGGAGACGGTTAAGGCCTGTCGCACAGGGGGCAAACTTCAGATTCCTCTATGGAGACGCAAAAAATTAAAATAATATTATTTTCCATCTAATACCCAAAATCGGTACTACTATAGTCGAAGATATCACATGTAAATTTTGGTCCCGATAGGAGTCGGTTAAGACTCGTCGCAAGCGGGTCAAAAATCAGATACCTCTATGGACTCAAGAAATTAAAAATATATATTTTTTTAATTTAATACCAAAAATCGATACTACTAATGTCGAGGATATCACATATAATTTTGGTCCCTATTGAAGTCGGTTAAGACGTCTTCATAGGGTAATCTGAACTTTGACCCCTGTGCGACGCGCCTTAACCGACTTCAGTTGGGACCACAATTTACAAATGATATCTTCGACAATGGTAGTATCGATTTTGGGTATTTGATGAAAAAATAAATAATCTTATTTTTTTGATCTCCATAGAGGAATCTAACCCTTCCCCCTGTGCGACACGCACTAACCGGGTCCAATCGGGACCAAAATTTATACGTGTTATCTTCGACCGTAATAGCATTGACGTAGGCGTTGAGACTTAGGAAATCTGGTGTAAAAATTTGCTTCCTACACTTAAGGACCACCCTAATGTAAATACCAGAGATCGAGACCAAGTGTCTCGTATGGTGTTTACCACTGACACAATCACTCATCTCTCAAGCAAAGAGTGTTTCCCACCGTGGCAAATCACTCTGTGCGATCATTTTGAGTTTTCCGTTGTGGGTTATTTGTCAACTGCTAAGATTTCCCTTGGGCAAAGGTGAAGGGGAATATGTAGATGTAGAAAATTATAAACATAAATATTATAAAGATAAATATTAAGAAAAATATGAGGATGAGTAAAGATGAAGATAAAGGAAGGAAGATTAAAAAAAGGTAATAAATGATATAGTCACAGAGACTCAACCTGGGAACTAGGAATGTCCGATAATTAGTCGGAAAATCCCGGAGTGGTCCTGAAGATTCCCATAATCCGGAAGAAGTCTCGAAAATCACGGATTAATCCCGAGGACCCCGAAGACTTTCGTAGAACTGGAAGTTGGAAGATACTTGAATATCTTATTTGCGTTGCATCATAAAAGTATTATTTACTTGAAAAATTACAAATCAAATTGATTCGCTCTATAAATCAAATCAAAAATTTGTATTTCATATTTCGTTGACAAATCAAATCACAAATAAATTTTATTTTTTCTTTGGTCAACAAACCAAATCACAAATCAAATATATTTCTTAGTTGATAGCGGATTTTAAATCAATAAGGATTTAAACGCACGCAACCCTGCCACCGCATGACCACGACGTTGACGTTGCTTATATCTCTCTCTAACTCTATCAACAGTAAATTTGATATGTTTCTACGCACTTCTACGGTACCCTGCGTACACGTTCGTGGGTAACCGCGCTCTAACACTTATTTTTCCTCTTCCAGCGATAAGTGTCCGTGTCCAACAGCAACGGAAAAAGATATGCAAATAACCCTTTCCCACTGAGAGGAGCACACATCTACAAAAAATAAACCACATGTTCTGTTTTGTGGGTTATTTTTTATCTTAAATGGGACGGTTATTTTGGGACACTTTCAAAGTGTTGAGGGATATTTTCGACCTCTGGTAAATACACACATCTTATTCCTAAACTGCCTAGCACGTTTCTGTAATTCAGTATCAATACATACATTTAGGAGGCATTTCCGGCCAAACCATGTACATGTATATTGGTATTGGTGCCAATTTTGAATTGATTTTTTCGCTTTATGTTAAACTAATTGAAAATTTCCTGCACATCAGCATCAAAATACCTTTCTAATCTATATAATAATACGCTAACATAAATTTTGTCTCCGTTCGTTTGGCGATTCTACCGAACCGATTTCAAACACCGTTGGAAAGGCATTTTTCCGTAGATGAGCAGAGTTTTTATGGTTTCACAATTGGTTGAAAATTACGGCCAAAACCGTCGTTTAAACATTTTCGAATTGTGTATAGATGTTGCTGCAACATGTTCAATTTGACATGTTTCGCCTGTTGTTTCATTACACATTTGAAATTAAGCTTTGAAATAAAGATAAATATGAAGATTAAAAATAAATAAATGATAACGATGAAGTCAAAAACAAGAAGGCAAAAGTGAAGATAAAGACGAAAATGGAGACAATGACAGATACATAAGAATTACGGTAACTAAAAGGGTAAGAACATTTCTTGAATTTATGAAGTGAAACTTCTTTAGCGGCAG